CTTTATTAGGAGATGAGAATTCTGTGAAGAAAATGAAAGAACTTATCAATTGTTTAAAAGAGAAGTATACAGATTGAATGACCATCAATTAAATTGGGACACAATTAAGTTTGATTTAAGGGTTTATTGTTTAATATTCAAAATTGAAAGCAAAGAAAAGTCGACAGCTAGAAGAAGCCTCATTAATTATTGATGTATGTTGTTTAACGTCCCTCTCGAGAATTTTTCACTAATATGGAGACGCTACCACTTGCCGGTGGAGAGCTGCAAAATTTGCCCTTTACTCACTCGGCACTCAGTTCCATGAGCAGGGAGGGATCTTTTTCGTGTCAGCATCTACTGCGACACGGGGCCTCGGTTTATACGGTCTCATCCAAAATAAAAGAAAAATTGAATGTATTAACGTACCTAAAAAAGGGGCATGATATTAAGATCTTAGGCAAAATGTTATGAAGAGGGAGAAATGCCTGCAAAGTAATTGTTGTCTAAGGAGAAAAAGATATTACAAAAATAAGAATATAGATAAGTTAGTAGTTAATAAAGGTATTTTCTCCCTCGCAATTTTAATAGTTCAAAGTCTAAAAACGGCAGTTGATTTATCAGTTATTTTAAAAAACGGAATAGATTGCCATATTGTTAAAGATGAGAGACATAAATAAACATAAGTATATGTCAACATAAAAAATTCTGAAATTTTTTTTTGTAAACAGTATTATAAAAATTATGTAAAAATGGTTTAAATGCATTATTCTTATACCAAAACACTTGCTACTTATCAGATACTTTTGAATTGTGAGTGACAAGAAAACTATTTTATGTTAGAGGTTCAATAAAGAAAATGCCTGAATGAAGATATCTGAGAAGGAGTTATTGCAATGTTAACATTTTGTAAAGATTGAATAATTGATTGATAAAAGAAAAAGTACATTTTAAAAAAAATTACTTCACAATATGTATCATTATACCTATTGATAAGCATTCTCCCAAAAGATATTGTTCTATTGGGTATGAATTATTAATTTATAACAGTTTTTGCAAAAACCTATGACATCATAATAGAATGAAGATAGCTTCTTTGAAAATCTATATAGAACTAATTTGGACAAAGATAATTATCAAAAACATGTTAGTCACTTTGTGGACAGAAAAAAAATTCCAAAACTTACTAAAGGTGATTCTCGAACGTGACGGTATAATAAGTTAAAATGAATGTGAAAATATCTAAAATAATTTAAATCAAATACTAGTAAATATTCAGGAAGTGCCTTCTGTTTGAATTCTGCAGATCTAGTGGCAAAATAAAGGCAATCAGCAGTTATTTCTCTCTCCTCAAAACAAAGAAAGGGAATCATTACTCTTGTACCTAAAAAGATAAAGTAGAACTTTATTAAAGAATTGGAGACCAATATCATTACTGAATTTGATTATAAAATGTAAGCAAAAGTTCTTGCAAGTAGAATTAAAAAAACTACTGCCTTACTTAGTTGATCAACTAGATTTCATTGAAAATAGATGCAAAGGAGAAAATATAAGAAGTATTGCAGATCTGATTGACTACACAAGTATAAAAAAATATTCCTGGACTCATTTTGTTAGCAGATTTAAGAAAGCTTTTGATACAGTTATATTTAGATACAGTTTTAGAACTTTTTGATTCGGAAAGGGATACGCCAGTGGAAACGCATCTGATGTTCAGATATAACAGCTGTTTAATTGATAGTAGATAATCTCCCTTCTTTTTCAAGATAACTCAAGGTGTTAGACAAGGATGTCCTCCATCACCTCATTTATTGCAGCCCGGAGGACCGGGCTGCTCTATACATATAAGTTAAAGTGTTGGTGTATGGAGATTGAGCTGGGAGAAGTTATTCATGATAAAAGGTTTTTTAAACATTGAAAAGATTGTTAATCACAATGTTCTTTCCTTTTATAAATTACGAGATACATGATATATTTACTTCCATAAAGTTGACCTGTAAAAAGATATATGTTTTTCACATTGAATATAAAAAGTTGCTCATCATTTACTATCAAAAAACAACAGGTCCCTTTTTTTTTTAGAACATCGAATTTTACGTGTCGCATAAAATGTACTGTACACAGTTCGTATTTCATATTCTTAAAGCGAAATACATTTTTTAATATGTAGGTGATGCATATGTCTGGTTTCAATTTATATTTATGCAGCCAACATATACTTGAGGAATTGATAAAGTTTAAAAGGGTATCGTTTTTGTTCGATTTTTATCCGACTATAAGTTTTCAAACTATTCTCGACTATCGTCCCCATCATTTAGACGCAATCTTTTTTCACACATATCAAAGCGGTTTGATGATCAAGAAACATATCCATTGTTTTCTTTATTTATTCCCGGGCGACAATTGATGGCTACATCAATGTTTTCTTGTTTATCTTATGTGTTGAATTATTGACTATTACAATTAGATCAAACAAAAGCATTCATATTAAAAGAATTGGTGAACAAGAATTTAAAATCTAGCAGATGACATCAGGGTTCTCCATCACTTTAAATTTAACTGTGGCGCAAGAATTACACTAGACACAAAACACGTAATGTCGACCCATATTACCAAACACAGACTTCCTGTGTACTGCTACGTGTATATAGATTTTTGACACCTTGGGTATTGGGGGTCTCAAGGTTAATAACATCACTGGTACGTTGACCATTTAGGTAAAATAAATTGGGTCTTTAAAGTATGAAAAATCAGGCTTTAAGGTATTGAGAATCATCCAAACTTTTACATATTGTTCTGGTTTAACAGGTCTGAACGATTTCCAAATATCGAAGTCAAGAATGTTAACTGAAAGTTGCTCAAAATATACGTCATGTACACGTAATTATTATTATTTTTTGGTCCAAACAGACAACGACATTTTTTGACACTCCAAAACATATTTTAACACCTGCCTTTTTTTTTTTTACCTCAAAAAGGATATGGAGATAACGAACAGTATTCAATCTCAAAGTCCATAAAACAATACAAAATAAGAGCAGAGCAAACACGAACCTCCGAAACATTAGAAGTGGGATCAGGTGCCATGGAGGAGTGAGCATCCCCTTCTGACAGGTCACACCCGAGGAATAAATCACACCAGCAAGTTTTTATTAAGTTCAACTATAACGTTTACCAGAAAATACTCTGTTGGTATTTATAATTTTGCCAAGTCGTCCGATTTTCATAGATGATGCTTTGAATTCCATGAGTATAGATCAACCTCACGCAAGTGTTTATCGTATCGAATACATATAGTTTTAAAATATCACGGCTTCAATGAGCGCCGAATACTAAGCTATTTTAACTTCATATGGGCAAAATTAAGGAAAGGTGTAAAATGTGGAGAAAAGGGAATAATTATACATGATTGTATTTTATCCCAATATACGAGAACCTACATGGAAGATTTTGTTATACCGGTAATCGCTCAAATAATAATTAAGACTGTTATCCATACGATAAGCTTTTTATGTCAAACTGTAAAAACTTTCCGTATTTATGTCAAGTTTTCACTGTAATTTAAACTTTTTGGATTGCTACCTCATAGTGACAGATAATAAATTTCGCGTATTCTAAGCTTTCGCGCCGTTTTGCTCACAATTTAGAATTGTCATAAATATAATATAATTCTTAAATATACATAAAGTTTACAAAAAAGTTTGTTCTCAAAAAGTCTTTTCAGCAAAAAACTTTGAAAACAAGTGTTTTATTTTTTTTTCTCATGGGTTTGTTTAAATGTATTATTTGATTGGTCAGAAGGACTATCACCTTGTTTATTCTGTGTATTTATAGCAATTCACTTTTATTGCTCTTAACTTCCTTATTTGGAAATCGTCCAGGTCTGTTTAAAGATCAAACTAAATAAACAGAGGTCATATTGATTGGCAGCTGCAGGAATTATCCTCCAGGCAGCTTATCAGTAAAATGGTCTAATGGTAAATGACATGACATTAAAGCAACTCTCAACCTCTGGAAAATGAGGAACTAATTTCTGATAGGAAGAATGAAGGATATGGAGATAACGAACAGTACACTAGCAATTCCAAAAGGTATACATTCATTAAGCTACTGTACTTCCAATAAAGAAGTAAATTAATTTATTACATCTTTTACAAGGAAAATGGACAAACCAAAAATTAAATTAACTGTATGTGTAGCATATCAAAAAATAATAAAGGTGGAATTAAGTTCCAAACTTTAATATCAGGTTAATTCACTTAGACTGAATACGTTTTGTTATTTGTCAGCACATTCACTGTTTGTAACCGTCCATTATAATCTTAAGTACGTATTTCCTTAGAAAAATGCAATGTGTAAATGTAATTTTATTGAAATGTTTTTATCAATTGTAGACTGTACCCTGAAAATACATTTTGATCCTAAGAGAACAAGAGATAAAAGATAACATTATGAATTCAAATGTCACCATGCAGATTAAAGTGCTTCAATGCTGTCAGTGTGAGAATGGTGTAGAATTCTACTGCAGGTCATGCAAACAAAATCTGTGTATGCCTTGTAAGCAGAAACATGTTGTATATCTCGATACCAAAAACCACGATGTCGTTGTTTACCGTTTGAAGCATGGTAACTTTATAATACCTGAGTCATGTGAAAAACATCGAGACTGCAAATATAAAAACTGATGCAAATCTTGTGAATGTCCAATTTGTGATAAAAGTTATAAGCACAGAAGACACGAGCTTATGGATATCAAATTATACTACAAATTTCAAGGACAGGAAAACAGCGGGAAAATTATTGAAATTAGAGGTGAGAGGCTCCCATACAATCGGGCCATGCTGGCAGATCTCTATTCTGACGCCAAACCTATAAAAGCAAAACTTTCCAGCACCCAAAAACAGCTCGCGATTAAAGCTGAAAACTTGGAAAAACTAATCGATATACATAGTAAGCCACTAAATGTTTTGTATACTATTAAAAGAAACTTTTATACGAGCTTTATATTGAAGCATCACAAAATGATGGTGTATGTGCACAGATACGAGCAGCTGGCAAACAAACCTGTAAAATTTTTACTGTTCATAAAGAAGACCCTCATCCCCAAGAAAATAGACCCTCCTGATAAAATAATATTAAGCTTTTATGAAGAAATAGAAACAGGCTACATTTTTGAGTTATTAGCTGATATCAAAATCACAGAGACAGGAAAGAGACAAGTAAGAAATGAACAAATGTTAAAGCAATTGCCACATGGTAAATTAAAGAAGTATGTTTCTGTAGCTGACTTAATTCGTGGTGTACACATTTCTTTTATGACACCAGATAGGATTTGGGTCAATGATGGACGCAGTCTTATTTTAACAAATTCGAAAGGTAACAATCTACATCATATTTTCGATGTAAGTGAACTTTACGGTGTACATACAGTAAACAGTGAAGGAGAGCTGATTTATGTAGACAAAGACTGGAACATTAACAAACTAAGTGCAGACAATACTACAAAGTCGACACTGATAAAGAGAACAGAAGGATGGGAACCATGGTGTATCTGTCACTCAGCCTCTACTGAAGATTTGGTGGTCATGATGAGATATGATACAAGAAACCCCACCATAGTATTATCAGATGTGAAAGTCATTCGGTACAATAGTGCAGTACAACCAATCCAAACCATCCAATACCACAAGACAGGCGAACCATTATATGATGAACCTGCCTACATCACGGAGAACCGGAATGGAGATATTGTCGTGTCTGATAGAGTGAAGGGTGTGGTGGTCACAGACCGTGAAGGGAAATATCGTTTCACTTACATAAGACCAGAAGGATGGTCATTTGCAAAATTTATGCCTTGTGGAATCTGTGTGGATGCATTTTTCAATATCCTGATCTCTTGTGTTTTGGACTGTACAATACACAGGATTAAGAAGGACGGTCATCTCCTGTCAATTACAGCAACGGCAAAAGATGGAGTTTTTGACCCATTGGGTCTGGGGTATGACGAAAAAAATTATCTCGTTTTGTTGGGATCAGACAACAAAAACATACTGAGTGTATACAGATCTACAGAACGACAAGATTATCTCGCATAAACTTTAATTTGCTAGTGGTTTGGCTGACTTATTTCAAACTAATCGATAGAACTTTGTTTTATACTGAATTTGACTATGGGATGCCCCGTGTACTTGATCAACAAGTAAGGTTCGAGGCAGGGTATGAAAGTACTTACAGAGGACCACCCAAAAGAAACATCAGTGATTTTCTTTATTCCCTTTGGAAAATGTGTAGATATATTCTTATATATCCTGATCTGTAGTCGAACAGACCACGCAATACACGTGATCAAAAAGGACGAGGATCTCCTGTCAATTCTATCATTAAAAGAAATTGGGATGATTGATCCATTGGGTTTGCGATATGACGAAAAAAGTCCTCTTGTTTGGATTGGATCAAGCAACAACAATACACTGTGTGTATACAGATTTATAGAATGACAAGATTATCTTGCATAAACTTTAATTTGCTAGTGGTTTAGCTGGCGAATTTCAATCCAATTGATAGAACTCTATTTTGTCCTGAATTTGACTATGGGATGGTCCGTGTACTTGATCAATAAATAAGGTTCAGGGCAGGGTATGACCGGTCAACAAGGGATGCTTAATCCTCCTAGCCACCTCATCCCATCCCTGGAATTTAGATGTATCCCTGTAATGCTCTGTTTACAGAATTGTATTGTGGCTATTTTTTTTTAGATCGGTCACGTTATATACACCTTTTTCATACATTACAGACAAGGATGTTTTAGACGCTCTTATTGGTATGAATAATAATGATCTGACCCCCACACAATGAGAGTTAATATGTATTTTCATTCATGATATAGAGATAACGAGAATTATTATATGATTGATTAACTTCCATCTCTTTGATTCAAAATACAACTATGTTAGAAAAATACTACGTTGTATTGACCTGCAAGCAACGTTCCATGTGAATACAAGGATTCATTTCCTCTACATTGATCTTAAAATAAATCAGGTGGTAAGAGGGGATGCAGGGACCCCTCCAACCATTTTACTGAACAACAATTTTTACTTTTTGGCCGTCAGTTTTCCTTGATAATACTCCTTCATTTCAAAATCTATCCTATAAAAAAAAACTGACATTATAATTTTTTCATGGCAAAAAAAAATTGATAAAAAAACATTTCAAATTACTACGACTAGTTAGGTTTATCCCCAATTTAATTTTGCTTCTCTCTTGTACTTGGCTAGGACCTAATTAAATGCAAACAAGTAACGAGCTGTATAATTCCATCAATGAATCATATAATAAAATAATTATTGCTGGGTTTTTTTTCGATCAATACTGTCACAAGTGATATTGTGTCAATGTTTTAAATTAGCTTATTGTACAGGTATCGGTAAGAGTTATCTTTATTTGGGCATTAGTAATTATCGATTATTTCATTTACGCACTACTGGTCACTGGGTTGTTCTTGTTGCTATTTTTATCAACGTATATTCGTCGAACCCGTTTGTTCAGTCTGGTCAGTTATTTATACTGCTGGGTGTTGGCTAGTGTTTGTCAGATGAGGTCTGGACGCCGTGAGTTATACTTTACCCATGCTGAGCGATCTTGGGTGTGCCTTTTATCTAACCCTGTGCTGTGTGAACTTAGGTGTGTTCTGTTTCCCCTGCTGTGTGATCTTGGGATTCAGGGATGTTTTTTAGCGGCGTTGAGCACGTTAGGCACAGTTCCTTTTTCGGGGAAGTATTACTATAAAAGGGAACTATTACTCTTTTCAGTAATAGAAACGTTACTCAATTGGGGAATTTTTGTCACATTTTTTAAATAATCCTCTAATCCATTTATTAAATAAAAAGTGCATAAAAAATACAATGTGATGTGTTTGATCTTTATCAAACAAACCTCACTGACTGAAAAATTCGGACCCCCGTTGCTGCAGACAAGAGTGAGATGAAATTTAATAATTTTCCCTGTTGATAAATGGTACAAAAAGTATGGAATCTAATAAGGGCATTCATTCGAGGACCATGTTAAAAGAATGTCATTTGAAATTTAATATTTCAAATAATTATTCTCATCTATAAAAAAGCAATGATATTTAAAATTATTATAACGATTTCATTTAAAGAAATAGTATAAAGTTAAAGTAGAACGAATACTCTCATGAACGAGTTAGCAAGTGCTGAACGTATCCATTATCACAATTTTAACACAGGTAAGCTACCGTAAGAAATCTATATCATAGAAATATTTCATCACTCTTTTTCAGCTTTTTGCAGCAATAAATATTGCAGTTTTGAGCACACATATGCTTAATAGACAATAAATATTTAGAGGATGTGAAAATATTCTTGCACATTATCTTTTATTCAAAACAACACGAGAATAGAGGCTTAATGAGTGAAAATTCCCGAATTCAGTATTGTTTTTTTATTACTGAAAAGAGTAATAGTTCCCTTTTACAGTAATACTTCCCCGAAAAAGGAACTGTTTCCAACCTGTTGAGAGCAAGACCTAGGGGCCCACAGTATGATTTTTATGTGCAAAATGCCACAGCTCAGTAAGTTTTTATACTTTACAATATTTTTGTTGTTAGCTTTAAAGAGCAATTTTCTATGTAAAACTGTTAGCAATATAGCGAGAATGTACGCTCTAATTCATTTACTCGTTAAAGGCAAAAATACATGTTTTCCTTTTTTGTAACTTGTTTGTAAAATTTAGTATTTTGAACAGAGATTTGTTTTGAATATTTCATTAGAAAACCCTATGAAAATTGTAGGTGACCAAAATTGTATATAGAGCTTTTGTTTTGGAGGGGAGGATTTTTTTTACATGGTAATGCTACTAATGATATGGTGGACCGGACGGGACACTATGGTGGACAACATGGACAATATCTTGGACCATGGACGTGGTGTGAATCTGTCCAGTGATGATTATGATTGAACTTTTGGCCGTTTTCATATTTATTGTACATATGTAGATAAATTTATTGTTAATTTTTATAAATCTTGTTGTTTCTTGGTAAACAGGAGGTCATACAAAATATTATTTATTTTGGTTTTTAAATTCTGATTTAACGAATCCATCACAACCTGAGGTCAGTTGTGACAAATCAATGATTTAGCCATCTTCGAAGTTCAATATTGTACTCCTCAGATGGCTAAATCATTGTATTGACCTCAAAAACAGCAAAAATTGTATAGTATTTAAGTTTTAGTTTATTAAAAAAAATACAACTTAGGAGCAGAGGAAACGCTGGCCTCTTAAACTTCAGAGATGAAATCAGTGCCATGGAGGAGTAAGCATCCCCTGCTGACCGGTCATATCCGCCATGTGCTCCTTGCCAAATAAAAAAAAGGAAGTTCGTAGACAATTCAATGTGTAAATCAATATGAAAAAGTCCGTCAGTATTTGACTCGATATATATGATACTTATGTTGTTTTTAAAATTTTGCAAAATTAATGATCCTGTTGGAATTTCAGAACATAAGATATCTTGTTGAATTCTTTTTTAAAAGAAAAAGAAAATCAGTATAAAAGGGAAAGTAATTAGCATACTATAAGTTATTTTGTAAAATGGGCTCCTGAGGTCACACTGTGAAAGGATCTCATTTTGATATCCTTGACACTATGACAGAATATCACTTTGATTGAATAAATGAATCTCTGTATTTCATTGATGAAAATGTAATAAAGTAGTTTATTAGTAGACTTATTTTTATATTCATATGAAGCAGAATTTATGCCAAATCTTATGCTAGAAAAGAAGAAAAAACTTGCTGTGGCCTTCAACTCGACATTTAGATATATCGACGACGTATTGTCAATTAATAATGGTGATTTCCATTCATACGTCGATACGATATATCCTGGTGAGCTTGAGATAAAAGATACCACAGAGTCCTACACTTCTGTTTTAAACTTGGATATTTTACTTGAAAAAGACACTAATGGTAATTTAAAAACTAAGCTATATGATAAACGAGATGACTTTATCTTTTCTATCGTCAACTTCCCTTTTTTATGCAGCAATATACCTTCATCACCTGCATACAGAGTGTATTTATCTCAATTGATTCATACGCAAGAACATGCTCTACGTATGAACAATTTTTAAAACGAGGTAAATTATTGACAAACAAGTTGACGAAACAAGAA